GAGCCTGCGCCCGGCCCAGCCTTGCTTTGGCACCTTCTGCTCTGTACGGCTTGGCTGCTTGGCCCCGCGGCCGGCCCTGGCGGCATGGCTGCCCGCTCTGGTTGCTAATAGGAGCTGTTAGGGGAGGAGTTTGGGGTCTCCACACGATGCCTAGAGAATGCTGCAGTCTGCACACTAGACGCTTTTTAGAAGTTTTGGAATCACCTTGATTTTTCTAATTGTTATGAAAATAAATCTTTTCTCGACTCTCTCCCACATGCTCTGTAATCGGGAGAGAATTCCCCTTGCCCACTATGATGTATAGACCATTCTCCCTACACCAGCTGAACAAATGTCAAACTTAATAAAGAAATTGACTCATGGCACACGGCTCCATCTGTCCTTCTCGGTTCATCCTTGGGGGGGGGGGGGGGTTTGAGGGGCTGAGGCCGGAGTGAAACCTGAGGGTGGATCAGTCAGCAGGGTGGCCAGCACCCCAACGAGGTGCCCATCTTCCAGAAACCTGGACAGTCCCCCTTAACCAGGGCCACCCACTCTGGGAGCAGCTCCCCAACCCCTGAGATGGTGGAGCAGATTTCTGACCCACCTAATGACTACAAGATGGGGGCTAGTCCAAGGTGGAGGGGGACATCACAAACCACCAGGGTACATGGCTGAGCCCGTGGCTGGCATACACTCAGGGGGAGCCCCTAGCGACCCCTGTGAAGGCGTCTGGCTCCTACACTAATGCCATTCAAAGTTGGAGAACTTTTGGGAAAAGCACTCTGTTCCTAACAATTAGTTCCTAACACTGCATGCAAGGCTGGCCATCACCGCTGGCCTCAGTTTCCTCATCCGTCAAATGGGAGAACAGATTAAGCGCTTGTGTGTCATCCTGGGATCCGGGAACATGAATGCCTTTGCCAAGTTGACATTAAATAAGAACCAAATCACTCACTGCAGCTCTTCTTTCTCAGAAGTTCCCATCGTTGCTGGTGACAAAGTCACAGGGGCAGGTTCCTAAGAATACCCCCAGCCCTCACTCTGAAGCTTCTCTCTCAGCATCAGAAAAGCCACCCAGACCACGGGGCCAGCCAGGGCTGTGCAACCACATGGCCCAGAGGGTTTTCAAAAGCACAAGTTCAATTGCCTGGGTGGGGCTCGGGGGCAACACTGGGATTTGGAACTAAGTTTCCTAAAATAGCAGCTTGGTAGCACAGCCCACTCAGATGGATTAAAACCTTTTTTCTTGTTTTTAATCCAAACTTCTAGAAAAACAATTCCACACACAGCCTTTGTGAGGCCTGTCTTGCATTGAGTTATGCTAGAGAGCGCATGGCTCAGAGACCAGCTCCACCATGAGCAGCGTGGGGAGTCGGGCTCTGAGCGAGAGGGAGCCCCCTGACTCCTGGGTCCTCGGCCTCCCGCTGGAAACCAAGCTGGCAAAAGGGCGCTTCTGGTCTCCCACCTGCCAGAGCACGCCTGTGGGGAGTGAGAGCCAAGGAGCTCACCGCGGTCAGGAAAGGCTTGGGGTGCCGGGCAGAGGAGGGACAGAAGGCCACCCGCCCAGGAGTCACTATTTTTCCTGTCATTTGGTCTGTTCAGACCGGTAACATGCTGATTTCCATTAACAAAACCAGACACTGCAAGAAAGGATGCTGCCCCTTAACCAAGTCATTCACTGCTATTTCCCTGTTTGTAAAATGAGAGCCCAGAAAAGCCTTGTATATTGTAAAAATTCATTGGGGGGGCGGGTGGGTAGGCATGTAGGTGCTCTGTGATTCAATCTGGTTTTATTCATCAAAAATACACTGAGCGCCAACCAAGTGACTGGCACAGGGAACCACTGCTGAAGCAACAGCTTCTCAGCCAACAAAGATTCCCAACCCAGGTGCCAGGCCAGACAGAATATGGCAATTGCCTCAGCAGAGGCACGAATGATTCCTCGGTGGAGGAGGAAGGGACGACAGAGGTGATCAGGGAAGGCTGCCCAGAGGCAGAGGCAGGAAGAACACACACCCAGCATGCCCAGAGCTGCCCTCTCTGCCTGGCAGACTCCCACCCCCAGGCTCTCAGGCCAGCCACAGGGATCTGCATTCCCCTCCCGAAAGCCCAGCCTCCCCACTTACCCATCCCAGCGGGGAGGAGGGAACAGGCATCCACGCTCAGACTGCACACTCCCATGGAGGCTCGGGCATCTGCCCCCAAGGGCCTGACCCAGCACCTCCGGACAGCGACCCCTGAACGGGGCCTCCTGCCTTTAGGAGAGCAGCTGCAAGAACTGAGACTGACAGCCAGCAGCTGCCTCGGGAGCCTCCAGCCCCCACCCACCCACCTTTTCCTAGATGCTGGATGGACCTGGGGACCAGGAGCAGGTGGACCCTCTGAGAATGAACAGAGCTTTCAGATTCATTCTCTCTCTCTCTCTCTCTCTCTCTCTCTCTCACACACACACACACACACACACACACACACACACACACACACACACACACACTGGCTGATTTTACAGTCAATCTTTCAAAGTGCAATTTGTCTAGGAAAAGCCAATGTGAGGCCCATGTGGATTTCAACCAATGGCGACGCAGCTGGCGCGGCTCAGCCAGTCTCCGGTCTGTATTCTAATGGGCCATATCTTTATCAGGGAAATGTGGCTTCTCTGAACTTAAAACTTCCCATGGAGGGTCCCCAGACTCCGAGGCAGAGGAGGGGTCTGAGCTGAGGCGTGGGCACCGCCTTTCTCCGGGCCTGGCAGGGAGAGAGGGAAGGGGTGCGGGCAAGGCTCTCACCTGGCCCGGAGCACCTGACTTCCGAGCAGGTGACGTGGGCGACAGTCCCTGGGCAGCGGCCGGGCCGATGCCTTAGGTGGGAAGGCGGTGGGATCCGGGGCCGCTTTCGAGCCTCCAAACCTACCATGGGATTCTGGGCCCGATCTCGGGGTCTCAGGGTTTAGGAGCCTGGATTTGGGCTTCCTGCCCCCCCTCACCCTGACCCAGGGAACATGGAGTCCAACCTGCAAGGGACGTTCCTGCTGAACAACACGCCGCTGGCTCAGTTCTCGGAGATGAAGGCCCCCGTGTGCCAGTACTCGGTGCAGAACTCCTTCTACAAGCTCAGCCCCCCGGGGCTGGGCCCGCAGCTGGCCGCCGGGACCCCGCACGGCATCACAGACATCCTGAGCAGGCCCGTGGCCACGCCGAACAGCAGCCTGCTCTCCAGCTACCCCCACGTGGCGGGCTTCGGTGGACTGGGCTCCCAGGGCGTCTACTATGGCCCCCAGGTGGGGAATTTTTCCAAGGCTGGGAACGAGTACCCCACCCGGACCCGGAACTGCTGGGCGGACACGGGCCAGGACTGGCGAGGCGGGCGGCAGTGCAGCAACAGTGAGTACAATGGGGGGGCGGAGGGGGGGAGGTGTTGTAAGGGGACACTCACAGTGGGCCCACCCCACCTCCCACTTCTCCTCAGTGGCCATCAGGCACATCTCTCAGCTGGGTGCAGGGCACAATTCTCCCCTCCACATCCCATGATCTCCCCTCCATCTTGCTTGGACAGGGAGTCTTCCCCCCCCCCACTCCCCACCCTTACCAGCTGCTACCTCAGCTGCCCTTCTAGAGAACCCGGGGTCTCTGGGTCTGGGGAAGACCTCATGGCCCACACCCACCCGGCGCAGGGTCCAGCTGGCAGCTCACCTTACTTCTCCCACCCAGAAACCGTGTCCCCCTTCTTCATCCGCAGCAGACAATGCTGTCCCCAGTGAGGAGCAGCTGCCTCCGCATCGTCTTCCCAGGCAGCCCACTCATGCCTGGCTCCATCCAGGGACCCAGGGTGCAGTGGCCCCACTGCAGTCCCACCTGCGATCTAGGGGGCTTGTTTCCTACCATCCCCCTCAAGGTTCATGTCCATAGCCCAGCGACAACCGCCCAGCCCCCAGGAGCAGCTGCTGAGCCAGATCAGACTCCATGTAGCTGTGGTGGGGGCTCTCCTCCCCCTACCCATCCCCAAACCTATTTTCAAAGAACAGGCTGGAGGAGGGGGCAGGACATGCACAGACAGGTGAGGCTCACCTGGGAGGCAGGGAGGGCACAGTGGCTGCCGGAGCCATCCCCTGCCACCAGGCCCTGCCTGCACTCCTGTCGGAACGCAGGGCCGCCCACTGCAATAGGTCCCAGCTGAGGAAACGGGATACACGGCTCCTTCCCTCCACTGCACTGCTCCAGGCGGCCACACTGCCTGGCAGACCACCCCTCACGCAACCTGGAACAGCGAGTTCCTGGGGGTGAAGACCCCGTCTCTTGAAACATATTTTATAACCTAGTTTGGGGGGCGCTTTAGGCTTCAGGCAGTCTTCCCTCTCACCTCCATCTTCCTCCTCACGCCAAACACCACATTCCCCACCCTTCTGTTCTTCAGTCCTGGTGCCAGCACACCCACACACAGGAAACCTCTCAGAAAGTCAGTGGTTAGCAAAGGGAGAGAGGACTGAAAAGGAGCTCTCTACAGAGGTCTCTTCCCCTTTCCGTGCCTCAGTTTCCCCACCGGTAGCAGGAGGAGGCGGGACATGGGCCACCAGGCTGCACTGAACAAGGCCCGACAGGTGGGCTCTCTGCTTATTCTGGGGCCTGCAGCCCTCCAGCCCAGCTCCTTCCTAGCAGGCCGCCTTGGCGGGGCAGAGGGCCAGGTCTTGAGCCTCTGTGTCCACACTCTCCAGTGTGGGTGACTCCTAGGCCTGGGGACAGGGGAGAGCAGTAACTTGGGGCTTAAGGCTCTGGTCTCTGGAGACCTGGAAAATAGGATCCCAAGAACAAGGAAGTCAGGAGGGGAGGAATTCTCAGGCCCCTCGGCCCTGATTGCTGGTGGAAGGTGCCTAATCCCTTTCTTGGTGTCCCTGAGATGGAGGGGAAAGTCCTCTTGCCCCGGGGGGAAGGCAGCATCGCCGAGTAAGAACATTAAACACAGGTATGGTCCATGGCAGGTCCTCAGCCCCCTCTGTCACTAAGTAGCTGTAACCTGGGGCAGGTGCCTTTCCAACAGGTGTCCGCCCGTCCGGACATGGCCGAGGTCAATCACTATTATCAGAATGTCAGGAATGCTGCTCATGGGAGAGGTGTCATGACCCACCCCTGCCCCCCCCACCTCC